ATGCCTCTTTCTGAGGTCGCTTCTCCAACTCGAGGACTCCAAGCGTGCAGAGCTGCTCGGATCAGCACCAAAGTTGCAGAATGTGCTTGACATAGAATGGGTGGACACTTCTCTTCAGTTTTCATCCAGATGACCTACTCGTGAGGAAATAAAAACATGGTACTTTGCCACGGCCACTCAATGGCGGCAGCCCAACAGCAACAACAGTTCCCATCAGAGGAGTCGTTGCTCCAACGCCAATAGCAGAGAGCTCAAGCGAACGGAGCCTACTATTTGAAGTTATCGTGAAAAAGTATACGAAAAGCGTGATGCGCGCAGCCCGCAGCCAGCATGTAGTTCCTTGAAAGAAAGCTAAGCGCGCTGCACGGAAGCCGCAAACGAAGTGACCTACAATACACAACCAGGGTAGCGCGGAGACAGCAGCCTCGACCTCACATATTCACAAAACCAGCATGCGCATCACCAGATCAAAAACTCGTTGCCATAGAAGACAGGGTTGCATGCCCCTGCCACTTGCCATGAGGATAGCTTATATCAAGCTGTGTCCATATAGTTCATTGCAAAGGAAATAGGCAAACAAACATTTACATCCGGGCAGCACGGAACTACACCTATATAGCAGCTACAGACCAATACGGAGCGGAGAAGCTTAGGGGTAGACTTTGCGAGGTTGCAGTTGGAAGAAGCTCGAGTCCAGATGCTGAAAGAGGCATGGGGCAGATCTCACCCTGGGCTTCTATGATGCTTTTGAAAATTCTGAGGAGCTGGCAAAGCAAGCCGCTGAGTTACAAGCTCGCGAGGCCGGAAGCTTGCTGTTTGATTTTCTTGATCTTGTTGCAGTTGCAATGGCTGAAAGCTTTACCATGACTCTTCCTGGTGGCCATGCGTCGTATCTTGTTTTGAGGCGGCTCTTACAGCGCGAGAAGAAGCGCTCGAAAGGCGGCCATACCAGCCGGTGTGGGGAGGGGTCTTACTTGGAGAGAATAGTCTGAGTTACCCAGGAAATATTTTGGTCGAACACTCTCCTGAGCCACTTCGGGCTGCCGTTTGTTGCCGTCAGCGCAAATAGCCCTAAAGTAGGCCTAGACCTTACAGTGCAACACAACTCAAGGGTATCCGGCTTGGCCGCAGACGTTTCAGGGCCTCTTCTGCGCTAGTTCCTGCAGTGTCTATGGCAGTGCATCCAGCCTTCAGAAATAGATTTTTGCTGCTTCGCCACATGTTGTTGGACTGGCCATGCGACTGAGCCAGCTTCCTCTGCCAAACTGTTCGCGGCTGGTTGCATCGATTTGGAGTTGCTCATGTTGTTTCCAGTGTGCGTCTACTGCGAGTGGTGTTAGGGATCGCGCATAGATTCAAACGGCTCAGCTTGGACCTAGAGATTGGATGTTGGCTAAAGATCCGTCTTCTTTTTCATTATCACCACTACTAGTTGCTATCCGCGATCTTCTTGTCATCATGATTATGACTGTTACTACGATAGAGCTGCTTTTGCCATGTTTCATGTGTCTCCTGCCTACCAGAACTTATGCTAGTACTTTTTCGTTGCAGTCAGTGTAGCACTTGACGCTGGCACTTTGCACAAGCATTGTCATTTGTCATCTGCCTTGCTCTTGCAGGTGTCAGTTTCCTGTTTGCATTCATAACAGTGTCGGTCGTTCCTGTGCTGAGTGGTAATTGCTCATTTTACAGTGAAAACGTGATTCTCATGGAAACACTACTTGCAATTGTAACAGTAGAAAACATCCCCAAGTATCATTGCTATTATTTCTTTGCTGGTACTGCCGCTTCTGCTGCTTCTTCTGCTGCTGCAGGCTAGAGCGTTTTCGTTGTGCTGCAGCAGGGATGGAAACGAAGTGAGAGCTTGGTGTGAATTCAGAGTGGTTGCCAACACTGACATGCCACAGCCGTAAGTAGTTCTATGCTTCAATGGCAGTCGCATTGTCAGTGGTGGCTTCTCGGAAGCGATGACGTTTTGCATACTTCTGCCATTTCAAGAGCTGCTGTGCAAGAGACCGGATCGCAAAGCAAGACTGTAACTACAGTAGAAGAACATGCAGGCAAGACGCGTGGGTGGCTCATGTGGTTCAGAACTTGGAATCCGCCTTTGTCAAGCAATCATTGATCGCAGCGGTTGGCCGTGTCACTCCAGTGTTGAATAGGATTCAGCGTCATGCCTGAGTACCCTACAGGTCCAGCTTACTCCGGCGCTCCATCACGCAAATTTTGCAAGACGGGTAGCTGGCCTTGTTTCTCAGAGCGTCCGGACGTGGAGTTTGTGATCCCCAGTGCTCCACTGTCTGGTCCGTGATATAATCCGTGGTGGTTAGTGGTGCACTATTGTTCAATCTGCCATTGGTTTTGCAAGGGCGGCTTCTTTCAAACAAGATGGAGGGGGCCTAGGGCCCCGAGCTATCCCTTCTGTAGCACTGTAGCGCTATTGTTATGCGGGTAGTGCTGCATTATTGGTAGAATGAATCGTGGGTCAGCTTTGACTGGGTTCGAGCCGGTGTTTGCGCTGTGCTGCAGCAGGGAATCCATTTTGCCAGATACTGATCACAACAATTGAAATGGTGGTATCGTGCCAGCTTGTCGCATAGGATTCGCATCACGCTTGGGCCGCTTGGGTACCCAACAGTGGCCAGCGCACTCCGGCACTCCATCACGGACGAGACAAGAAGACTATGCAAAATAGGATTGGATAATTTCTTTGCGAATTAAAGGGAGACTTCTAATAATAGGATCTTTTTTGTAATGGCGTACTCCAAATGAGTTTCAGAAGAAGATTTCGGACTCTCAGGGTTCAGGACGTCGGCTATATATTAAAATTTGCTTTCGCGCGCCGAATTGGGATTTTGAGGATTATGTTCTTTTCTGATGAAAGGTATGAGGCTGTTCGTCGAACCTTGCAAAATCTTGTTTCTTGTCATTTGTCCTTGTTTTGGAATCGCCTCTGTAGGGAGAGTGGGGGCTGATGTATATCGCATTTGGGATCTCGCTCGGCCGCCTGCCTACTTTAGGATTGACGACCTGACGACTTCCTTCATTCCTGACTGATTTCGCGTAACCCACTATTGTGCGCGGCATTGTGTCTCGTATTCTTCGAAGCTTGCGAAATTTACCAAAATGTGAAACGTTCATTTTGTTTGTGATGAGCACAAGATGATATCTATAATTTGTAAGGATTTTGTCCTTGAAATCCACCCGAAAGCGGAACATGAACAAAATCTCAATTAAAATGACGGTCGAAGAGAACGGATTCTCTTATTACTTTATCTTCGTATTTTGATTATTGTATGATTTACTTTTATATATGTATATATCATTTTATCATGTCAAAAAATGAGAATGTAGAAATGATTTATCGAAATTTATTGCTATTTGATCAAATTAAGATCGAGGCAAAAATATAGCATTGGATATCATAATCCTATCGGATAAGTTTATGCGATGAATTTCTATTGCGCGATGGAATCTCTAATGGTCATCGACTTGAAGGTCGAATTCAGATGATCGATTTTTCGCCTCATTTTCGATGCCTCGTATGCCCTCTTCATTTCATATTAAATGAATTTGCGTTGGGTACAGCGGATGGTCGTGGCTAAGGCCCCACTCGTAGTTGTAGCAGCTTTCTGAAAGAGAGAGATGCCGGCGATATCGACAGCAATCTACGGGAATCTTCCTGGACCGCATTTTGGCGGAGGACCGGAGGCGCGATTAATCATGTATCTGCGTGGTGTATGTGAAAAATACTAGGGCTTAAATCGGTCCGTTCCTGGGGTTGCAATCCAATACGTTGGGTATATGTTTGCACTGTATTGAGGAGAATCTTATAGATCGCATATTTATATCCTTATCGGATATATTTGAGGATATGATGACCAAAGAGTTCGAAAGCTTAGAAAGAAAATACATATGTATATATATATATGTATATTTATTGTTTTTCCTGCCTCAAAGAGAATGACTCCCTATCGTATATCAATTATATCCGAAAAAATGAAAAAATGATCGGGAAGACTGCAAATTGAGGGGCCTCCCCAGATTTTTGTTGATGTTGGGATTGGATTTAGCAATGTGGCATACATATGTCTGTATATATGACTGACGGAATGCAGCGTTTTGCATGAGTTAAAAATGCTTGTATTTTATTTTGGGGAGTGTCTGGATGTAGAATACAGAATGGTTCTTGTGTTTACTCAGGCTTCTTTTTATTTTCATCCTTGCATTCCCTTGGGGTCGGTGCGGATCTGCTTTACAGCCAGCCCTCGGGCCAACCCCTTGCAGGCAGACACTTGCAGCAAATTTGATGATGCATGAGTAATGAATGCTTTTATTCTATTTGTGGAGTTGGCTGGATGAAAGATACAAAAGTTTAAGGTTTGCAGACTGATGACCACGCAGTGCTTGCTTGTAAAACGCAATACGGCGACCATTGCTGTGAGTGCGGAATTGATTGCGCATATTAATACACTTGATTGGTCAACAGTCGTGAGACTTGACTTGATCTCCTGAGATCATGCTCTGAAGTTTTGCTTCGATCTAGCTGTAGTGTCGCAGCAGTCCGCAGCAGTGCCTGCCAGAAGCTTTGACATACAATGGAATCTTTTTTCAGGGAGGCTGTACGCTCCGTTGACGTCTTTCCATACAACCTTTCAGGTCTTTTACATCATCGGTTTCGGCAACCATTTTCAGAGTTAGTGCCCATGCCATCATGAGTTTGTGTGAGCCTGCTTTTCGATGAGGTGACTGATGACGTTCTTTGCATGTTTTCCAGTGAGACCTGGTGTGATGCATATAGCAAAGCAAGCAACCGCAAGATTCAACCCATCTCCATGTGCAAGGCTCTCAACGGTAAAGCAATGTCTCGACAATCAGTGCATGCATGACAAACCATCAATTCTAAGGTTTGGGCTGCTTGTTTTGCGTAATGCAAGCCTGATACCCACCCAGCACCAGAATGTAATTTCATGTCGATAACTGCGCAGCGCGCGGCCGCCATGGCAGACAAAGTGGCTCCAAGTGCTGGCTACCCGCCGCCGGGATATCCACCTCCCCCAGATGGGTATGCCTTTGGCTATCCGGCCCCGGCAGCTTATGGGCCTCCACCAGGTTATCCGCCACCGGAAGCTTATAGTTATCCGCCAGCCTACGGCGCTCCGCCGCCAGGTTATGGTGCGCCACCGCCTTACGGCTATGGCCCACCGCCACCTAGTTATGGACCGCCTCCTGACAGCTATGGTTACGGGCCCCCGCCAAGCTATGGGGCGCCTCCCAGTTATGGGCCCCCAGGCTATGGCTCACCCTATGGCGCCTCAGCTTCTTCCTCAGGATCTGCGCCCGGCTATGGAGCGTCTGGACCCGAGACTCCGTCAGGTTCGGCTGGCCATATGTTATTCTCGGAGTTGTCGACACTGTGCTCATACTAGAAATTGGCAGTTCGGCAACTAAGGTTGGAGAAGACCTCCTCGACCTCCAGTGTCTTGATCTCAGTGTGATGGTTTCAAGACAGCAACAGGCATGTTTTGGCTCTTGTAGACTTGTCGTCCATGCAGACTGGTTTCCTCCCACTTCAGCAGTGTGCAAGAGCCAGACACCACTGCAAGGGACAGAGAAGAGAAAGTTCTGGAAGGCCTCAGCAGCTGCGTCCTCAGAGGTTAAGTGCCCTGGCGGATCCATCAAATGTTCCATCTTCATCGCGCTCCGCTCCAAGCTGAATGCCAAGAATTTGTTCAGCAAACAACTCTTCAGAGAGCTTTGGCATGGTACTTCATGTGCAGTAGGAACATCATGGCTGACATAGTTCATCAAGGGCGTGTAAGTCGACACTTGCTAAGGAGTTTTCTTAAGTACTTTACTATCGAATGGTGTGCAAACTGAAATGGAGTAGTTGCATCAGTGCAGACGATCGCTTTTGCCAAAGCACCTCACATGTCGACTCTACCAGATTTGGCGATGGTGGCATTGCTGGACTGTCAGTGGAAGTTGCTATGTAGATGTTTGCTGGTCAGGGGTCTCCTTCATGCTTGCCCGAATCTCAAATACAAGTCAGTCTCTTTCGCGAGGTGAGTGTTGGTTTGGCATCGAATGGGAAGATGAAGCTTGTTGTCTTACCTTCACATAGCCTAGATTCCCAGATTTGTGTAGGCAGACGAGCATCCTGTCAAAGCCAAATTCTCAACACTGGCCTCTAACATGTGCGGGGGCTTCAATTTTATGTTCGAGTATGCCTGACTGGACGGCCTACTTATGAGCAGAATCGCTTTGCTTGTCGGAGCCTGCGGCACAGCAGCCTGGCAGTACTGAGTCACGACGTGACCATAAGGATGGTGTCACTACTTGAAGCTGCGCTCGGCTTCAAAAATGTAAGCACACCAAACATCCGCTAGCAGGACTTTGCTTCTTCGCCAGACCTGGTTGCAGCCCTGGCCCGCAGTGGCTGGAAACCCTGGAGAAAGTTGCTATTCGCTGACGACACCTCGCTAGCTGGCATAACTCCTAGACTCTTCTAATGGGCTGGCCCAAGCTAGAAAGGAGCTGTTGGCCAGTCAAGCCCCTCCCCAAGTAGAGCCTCAGTTGTCAGCATGTTTCCTGATCAAGCTTTTAAGCGTGGCATTGCAGATGTTGCAGGTTTCCGTCAGTGTGAAGAGAGTAATTACGTCGAAGCTGTCATGATGCGCGTTCATACGAGCCAGATGATTTCTGGCAAGTTTCCAAACCAAAAGTGCCAGTTAATTTTCCACTACAGGCCGCGCGGGTGCTTCAGCAGCACGAGCTTCGAAGGAGGCACTTCAGGCGGGACTGCTAGGCTTACGCAAAGGAGGAGAAGTCTTTGTGGTCTGATGCAGTTGTTGACAGGCTCGGTTTGTGTGGGATGACGAAGCATCTGAAAGATGTGCTGGTTTGTGCCTTGGTTCGAAGACCATGTCAATGTGAGATTTGATTCAATCTGTAGCGCCCGAGGTATGTTCGGATGAAGTGCCGTCGGCTTCCGAACGGGACACGACATGGCGTGGAGCGATCCACTTGTGTCCCTCATCGTGTGGGAGGCACATCGATGAGACCCGCAGGTTTTGTTGACATTGACTGTGCTTTGATCTACCAGGACCTTGCAGTCCATCTTATTTTGCCGAGCGTCTCTGGAAGGAAGGACAACTCATGAAGGACCAGCTCTTACATGCTTGTTTGGCCGTGAGAAGCAGCATTTTGACATAAATATCTGATTCGTCAGATGTACAGGTGTGGACATGCTTAGGGAGAATCAGGGGAGAGTATTTGCTTGTGACTTCTTTGCCTGCTTGATTGTCATTTGTCGTTTCTTGCACTTCTGATTTCCTTCACGTGGCCAAAACCGAAGTGCCAAACAACCCCAACCCCCACACCGGAAACCAGCCCATAGTAAACTGCGAGCCCCAAAGAAGCCAAACTGAAAATCTGGAGAGCTGTAAACCCATACAGGCCTGAAACCAAATCCTGAAGAACCCCAAGCAACAAATGACCTGACAATCTGAAATCTTAAGTCTTATAGAGCATAAAGCAAGCCCTAAAGCATAAAGAAGCCACAAACCAGCAGCAAGAAAACCCCAGACCCAAAATGTTAACATCTTCAAGCCCCAAACTGTGAACGGCCCCAGCTCAGAATGCTACAGCAGCCGGATAAAGGCGTGACAAGCAATTTGGTAAACCACCCCCAACTTAAACCCACCTAAACTCTGAACCCAAACATCCAGACAATGGCAGACTCTAAACTCTCAAAAAGCGCCAGACCCTGAAAGCATCCGAAACCCAAATCCTAAATGCCCAAAGCCCCAACCCCAAAACCCAAAACCCTAAAGCCGGAACTAAATCCTGAACGATCCCAGATCCTCAAGCCCCAAACAACGCCAAGCGCAAATACAAAAGCTCAAGCCCTGAAACCTCAAGCCTAGGCCCCCAATGCGCAAAGCACTAAACCCAAAAGCCGACACTAAACCCTGAACACCCCCAGGTTCGAAGCCCCAAGCAACCCCAAGCACAAAACCCCAAGAAACATAAGCCCTGAAACCCGAACCCTGAGAAATAGGTGCGAATTTGCGCAGGCGATGCTCAAGCAAATGTAGGTGAACCAAGTGCTCGCTGTAGTGCAGGCTGCTTCTACTTCAGGGTGGTTCGGCCTTGCCTGTCCCGGTCATTGTCAGGGCTCGCTCTTGCTTTCTCTTGTGATCTTTTCCACGGGGTTCCTTTCTGGTGCGGTTGTTTGCCTTTATATCTTCAGGGTTAGCCTTTTTCTTCCAGGGCCTTCCCAGGAGATCGACCTGATCCGCGAGGCTATCCGTGGCCTGACCCTTGTCACTCAGCGCGACCCTTCCCCTGCCTGAGCGCTTGCCGCCTGCTCGCCTCTGGCCCTACTGACACACCGCCTGCCTCGAGGGCTACTAGGGCTTGGATTGCTGGCCATTGGGCTCGTGCTGTCTTGGACGGCGTCGTGCAGAAGCCCTTGCCTACGCCTCCTTTGCCCAACCTGGCAAACCGTGTGTACATTGTGTTGCGCCTGCCTGGTGCTGCCACTGCTGCTCCAATCCGGACCCGCTATAGGGCCGTGGTTGGCCGCCTCGAGTCTGGGGACTCAGTTTCTCACGGCTTCGCCTCCTTGGCAGAGGCCGCTGTGTACTGCGAGGCCGCAGGCTTTGTATTGCCCCCTCTTCAAGCACAATGAGCCGTCCGACTCTCGCAGAGGAAGGCCTTCGCGTCAGGTGCAGTCCGTCCAGACCTATGCCGTGCCGGTCATGCGCCGCAACGAGGGCATATTGCTGGCCGTCCCTTCCGGCTTCTTGGCTCAGTCTGCCCTAGCCGCCGCTCAAGCTGCCATCGACAATTTTGTGCTGGGGCCCTCCGAGTCGGTTCATCTGCCGATGTGCGTCTTGGACGAGCAAGGGGAAGAGCAGAACATAGATCTGGAAGCTCCGGTGCTGCTGTTAGATGTGGGTGAAGAGGCCCTGCTCCTTCTTCAGGAATACACGGAGGAGACCGATGCCTCCCGCATTTTTCCTTATGTGCCTACTCAGTCCGATGCCGTTCGGAGGCCACTTTCACTGCTGCTCGCCTTTGGTTGTTGGAGGTGGAGTCTCAGCGCATGGCCTTCTACTCAGCGGCCGAGGGTCCCGAGGAGGGTGCTGGAGTGGACAGCATTGGGGGGAAGGAAAGCCCGCGAAGCAGAAGACTTCTCCCAAGGCCAAGCGCATTACGACGGCCCAATTGGTCAAGCAGCTCTCCTCTGTTGCAGCCCTTCTCCCTCAGCTTTCCCAGCAGCTCACGCGCGCCAGCAGCCTTTTGTTTCGGCCTTCCTTTGAAGAAGCAGGCGTCGCTATTAGGGCCTCCTGCGAGGGTGCGCCCCGAACCCTTAGCAGGGCCGTTAGCTACGCAGCCTTTAGCTCCTACCCTCGGGCAAACGGGAGAAGCTGCAGCAGCCGCTCAGGGGACTTTTACCTCCAGGTCTTACAGTCAGCCTTCAAGCGCCTGAACCTCTCCACTCCTGTGCCTTCGAGCCTCGAAGAAATGGCTCGCAACATCCCGATGTGTCGCTACCTCTGGAGTTCTCAATGTGGGCCCTGGCGCATGTCGCCGACTGCCTGACCGATGGCGATGTAGCTGGGGCCAGAACGCACCTTGCGCTGCTTATGGTGGGGGCAGTCCTCTTTGGACAGAGGTGCTGGGAGCTAGCGTGGCTTCTGACATTTTTAGAAGACCCGCCGCTCTCTGTACCACAACCGAGGGGTGGGTGCCAATCCTCATTCTCGCGTGTTTGCCCCACTCTGCCCGACGCACTGGACGACGACTGCGCTTCAGTACCTACGAAAGCCTCTTCCTCGACTGCGGCTGCTCCAGACATCTCATCGGACCAGGGCGGCCAGAAGCCCGGAGGGCCAAGGTGATTTTCCTGTGAAAATCTCTGAAAATCTTGATTCTGGACCTCATCTGCCCCCTAATGGATTCTAATAGAAATCCCTACCGGCCCACTAAAAAGAGGTGTGAAATGGCTTCTGAAGGAAAGTTGCCACCTGGGCGTGCGCCTGCTGCCCCCACTGCACGTGTTCACTGCCGGTTCGGGCCAGGCTGCCCCTTGGCTTCGACGCCCGGCTGACCTTTGCTTCCTGGACGGGGCGCCCGCGCAACGTTTGCAGCTTTTCTGCGTTCTACTTTTGCACTTGCCCAGGCTTCCGCCTGCTCGGCCTTCTGCGCGCGCTGGCTGCCTGTTTCCTCTGCCGTGGCCTTGCCGTGGGGCATTCACGCACTTTCCTGCTCACATACCTTTGCCTTTGCTTCAGCGGCCCCCGACTCGTGCTCAGCTTAATCTGATTGACCATGTCGGGAGGCATTTGAAGGCCTTCGGCGCCGCTGTCGGGGAGTGCAATCTTCCTGATGCCGGCCGCCGAAATCCTCAATTAGTTGCGCCTTTGTGAGCTGAGCGCCCGTGTGACCGATCTTGCCCCTAGTGGATTCGATCGCTGCAGCAATATTGCCGGGCACACTGTACCTGTAGACAACACTGTGCAGCCTGCGCTTGAGCTTTACCGCTCTCTCGAGGTCTCCCTCAAAATCTCCGGCCATGGAGGTTTCGACCCTGTCCCTTTCTTGGGCGATGCCTTGTACATGGCTTATGTGGAGCCCAACTCGCTTCTTCACGGGGCCCCTGTGCGAGAGCCCTCCCGTGGTCTCCTGCAGTTGGCCAAGCCTACGTTCAGGATCGGGGATGAATTCATGCTCTCCCCGAGTGTTCAACGGTTACAAGAACCAGGATTGTGACAGGCAGATCATCGACAGGAGGGGCCGTAACTTTGCGGAGTCTCGCTCCCGGCCCCTCGCGCTTCATTCCGACTGGGCCCGACCTTTCTGTTGTCGAGGTCGATCCTCGTAGGGAGACCCTGTTGTGTGCCAGCACGGACAGGAAGGACTTTTATCATCAGTTTAGGGTTTCCTCCTCCAAAGCCATTGCAAACGCTATTGGCCCTGCCGTCCCTGCCGATCAGCTCTCCTCTACCAGGGCCTTCGCTGAGCTTGCTGCTCCAAACTCTCGCTACCTCCGCGAGGTCAGGGGCGACTGCCTTTCCGATAGGCCCAGCCTTCGGCGTCTCCTTTTCGATCCCGTGCGTCTCTGCCTTGAAGGTTGCCAAGAGGCTTACAGCTTGTGTGGGCTGCAGGGTTCCGATGATAAAGATCAGTGGGGCGTGGATTTTTGCAAGATTGCCGTCGCACACCTCGGACGCCCTGCGCCTCAGCCATAATGTCTGTGTTGGCTTGCTCCCATGGAGTTGTGAGAGCTGATCGTTTTGATCCGCGCAGCCCTCGGCTGCTGCCCCTGCCTCGTGAAGTCGCTCAGGAGTTGGTGCTCCTCGGCACGCTTGCCCCTCTCGTCTCCTCTGAGCTCTCAGCGCCCCTCGATAGCGCGATATATGCCACCGACGCCTTCGAGGCCAAGGGTGCTTTCGTCGCTGCTGAGGCTGGCATGCCTCTCGCCCGCGTGCTCTTTAAAACTTCACAGCCCGCATTTCAATTTGGTGTGGCTCAGGGCCCTCGAATGGTTGCTCTTTCTCCTGGAGAGCTCTCGTCTCCGCTCTTTCGCGGTCGAGCCTCCGTGCGCCACATTTTCTCCTGCTGCCTATCCTGCGCTTCGCTCCTACAAGGAGCCCCGAGGACACAACCCGTGCAAGGCCCGCGCTCTCAATGGCACCACGCTCGCGCTCAGATCTCTCACTCTGCTCTTCGTCTCGCTTTGCCTTGGCGTCCCTGGCGTCCTTGAGCAGCCCAGGAGGTCTAAGATGGCCTGGCTTCCTGAGTGGAGGCGTTTGCTCGAGCTTGGTGCCACTGAGGCCTTCGCGGAGAAGGAGTTCTGCTTCCTTCAGGTCTGCGTCTACCTTTCTCCTATCTGTCGTCCTTGTACCCGCGATCACGAGCACATTCGCGTTCAGGGCAAGTACACGGCGCCGTCGGCCAAGTACACGCCGTTGCTCGCCAAAGCTATTGCTTCTGTGTTCGATGAGACTCTCCGCTGCCGGGACTCTGCTCGTAGTTCCCCCGCCCTTTGCACGGAAGGCCTGGAGTCACTCCTTACCAACGATGCTGCGCTTGCTCTCACCTGGACGGTCGTGGCATTGGAAGGGGCGCCCTCATATCAACATCCTCGAGCCTGCGGCTCTCCTTTGCCAGCGCCTTGCCAAGGATGGTCCCCGGCGTTTCGTCGTGTTGATTGATTCCTCTGTGGCCCTCAATTCCGCGGCCAAGGGTCGTAGCCCTTCGCGTGGTCTTGCGCCAGTCCTCCGCAAGATCGCTGCCGCTTGCCCAGCTGCTGGCCTGCACGTGTCTTTTCATTTCTGCCCGCGCAGGATCGTAGGGACAGGCTGCTGCCAGCCTTCCAACGGTGGCTGCTTGAACGTGGCAGTTCTCTAGAGAAGGTTTGTGGTCTGGGCCCTGAGTTCGTTCTGGAAGCTAACAAGCAGCTTGTCGACTACGGCAGAGAACTGTTTCAGGCCGGCTGGCCTTGTTCCCACTTTTCGGAGATTCTCAATGCTGTTTCTTCAAAGGAGCCCAACCTTCGCAGGTGTTTGCAGCCTTCATGGGATGTGGCCTTTGCTTGGCTCCGTGAGGAACTCCATACGCATCATGTTGCTCTGCCTTGGCAAGCTTTGCTGGCGATCATCTCGACTGCCCTTCTTTGGGGCTGGCCTAGGACGACCGGCTGCATTGCTTTGACCTGGGGCGCATTGTTGCGCATTGGCGAGACGCTAGCTGCCACCCGAGCTGACCTGCTGACCTGCTGCTTCCGGGCGACGTTGAGGATACAAGTGGTTACGCCCTGCTGTCCATTGCTGAGCCGAAGACGCGTTTTAAGGCTGCCCGTCATCAGGTTGCTCGCCTTGAGCAACCTGACCTTTTGCGACTGGTTACACTTGCTTTTAAGGAGCTGCCTAAAAATGCGAAACTGTGGCCTTCTTCGCCTTCAACTTTGCAGAGCCGTTTTGCTGCTTTGGTAAAGGCTTTGGACATGCGTAGGCTTGATATGCCTTCAGGAAAACAACTTGATTTGGGTTCGCTTCGTGCTGGAGGCGCCACGTGGTTGTTACAAACTTCTGAGGACTCCGAACTCGTACGAAGGCGGGGTAGGTGGCTAAATGCCAGGACGATGGAGATATAAATATTCAGGAGATTGGGGCCCTCATCTTCGTGCATCGCCTGTCTCAACGTTCCAAGAAGCTGATGTTTGGTGCCCTTGGATCATTTGGCGATCTCGTCGAGTGGGCCGAAGTTTTTCAGCGTGCAGGCGTCGAGCCTCAGCTCTGGTTCCAGATTTTCTGTAGCCGTAATGCTTGAGGATGGATGGGAAAGATGGGAAAGAAACTGGATGTGTCCAACGTTTGCACCGAGCTCACGCAGTGCAAAACAAAGGGGTGCGCCAGCACAACTTCCTTTGAGCAAGGCAAAGTTGAGTACCTGAGAAATAGGTACGAATCTACGCCGGCGATGCTCAAGCAACCCTCCCGCCGCTCCCACGTCCGCCACAGAAGCTGGATGTGTCCAACGTTTGCACCGAGCTCACGCAGTGCAAAACAAAGGGGTGCGCCAGCACAGCTTTCTTTGAGCAAGGCAAAGTTGAGTACCTAAATACCCAAAACCGAAACCTTAAAGCCGAAAGTCAACCCTGAACAATCTAGGAATCTAGGACCCTTAAGCCCCAAACAACTCCAAACGCAAAACCCCAAGAAGCCGAAGCCCTGAAAGCAAAACTTAAATAACCAAAGCCCAAAAGCGCAAACCCGAAAGCCGAAACTAAACCCTGAACCATCCCAGGCTCTTAAGGTCCAAACAACCCCAAGCCCTGAGACCTAGACCCTGACTGCCCAGAGCCCGAAACCCTAAAGCCGAAACTAAACTCTGAACACCCCCAGGCTTTCAAGCCCCAAACAACCACAAGCGCAAAACCCCAAGAAACCCAAGCCCTGAAAGCTAAGCCCTAGATGCTCAAAGCCCGAAACCCTAAAGGGTTTCTAAACCACGCAGACGTGGCCCCCGGGTGGGGTACAGTTTCCTGCTCCTGAAGTGCAGCCTCGCAGTTTGAATGCGGCTGAGACCTCCAACAGCATTGTAGTCACACTTCGTGTTGTGGTTCGCCGGTACAGCCATACGGTGGGAACCCAAACAGATTCGGCACAAGGAACCCCATGCATTCCATGCAGACGTAAACGTCCACTGGGTTAACACACAAATCCGAAACTAAACCCTGCACAGTCACACGCTTTTAAGCCCCAAACTAGGCCAGGGGATCCTGAAACCTAAGCCCTAAATACCCCAAGCCCGGAACCTAAACCCTAACGCAGCGACTAAAGCCTGAGCAATCCCAGAGCCTCAAACCCCAAACAACCCCAAGCGCAAAATCCTATGAAAGCCCGAAACCCTAAACTCTCGAGCCGGAACTAAACCCTAAACGATCCCAGACCGTTAAGCCCCAAAAAACCCAACTGCAAAACCCTCAGAAGCTCAAGCCCTGAAAGCTAAACCTACATACCCCAAGCCCGAAACCCTTAACCCTAAGGGTGCTTGAAAGTTGTGCAAGAAAGAAGTAAGACGAGGCACCAAACAAAACCGTTTGAGACCGTTTTGGCACCCCAAAAGACCCCAACCCCCAAACACTTCTCAATAGTTTGGAATAGTTTGAAGAGTTGCTGGTTGTGGAGCCCTGTACTGGGTACGCAGAAAACCGTTTCAAACTGTTTTCCGCATACCCCAAAGCCGTTTTAAACCGTTTTTGGAAGTATTACACGACATACAATCCATCGCAGGTTCATAATACTTTGAAGTCGCACTGCTCGCTCTGACAAGGAGACAAGTACATATGAAAGCGCAGGAGGCTAGCAATACAACATCAGGTTGTCTGGGTAGCATGGGAGTTGAGGCACCAGGGCCTGGATTGGCATGGCTATGAATGTCTGCCGCATGCGCGAGTCGCCTAGACCCTTAGCCCGGAAGATGGAACCTAGGAAGGCGGCACCATTTACATTATGTCCTGCAAAACTTCCTACGTCACTTCCTACGCCCCACTTTGCTGGGAACGTTAACTCCTCCATGAAACGGCTAATGCTTGAAATAACTGAAGAAGGCCCAAGCCTGAAAACAATCCCAGAGCCTCAAGCCCCAAACAGAGTCCGGGGCTAAAGCCCAAGCCCTGAAACCTAAACCCTAAATACCCAAAGCCCGAAACCTTTAACCAGTCCTACACCCTAAACCATTGACGCCGAAACTAAACGAAACTTTGAACAATACCAAACTCGAAAGCACCAAACAACCGCAAGGGCTAAGCCCTCAAGAAGCCCAAGCCCTGAAACCCAAATCCGAAATCCCCAAAGCCCGAACCCCTATACCCTCAAGCCGAAACTACACTCTGAACAATCCCAGAACCTCATGCCTCAAACGACTGCAAAACCCCAAGACGCCCAAGCCCTGAAAGCTAAACCCAAATAAAAATCCCGAAGCCCTAAACCCTAAAGTCGAAATTAGATTTTTAACAATCCCAGACCCTTAGGCCTCAAACAACCCCAGGCGCAAGACCCCGAGAAGCCCAAGCCCTGAACCCAAATAAAGCAACTTTTGCTCCCAAGCCTTCAATAACTCGGAACCTTAAACGGTAAACAACCACAAGCGCTGAACAACCCGGAACCCTGAAGCCTGAATAATTCCAAACTGCAACAACCTGAACTTCCCAGATACTAGACCCTGAGCAACCTCAAACTCGAAACCCTGAACAAACCCAAAGCAATCCCGAGCCCTAAATCCTCGAGAGGCCTCAGCTGTTCTCCAGCCCAAGCTGCAAGCAACCCAAACCCTAAACCACAACCAACCCTGATTGATCCCAAATCCGAAAGCTTCAAAAGTCAATGGGTCTACCATGAAGCCAGCCTTCAAGAATCCCTCACCGCAAAGCCTACAAGCCGAGGCAACCAGAAACCTTAAACCGAAACCACCGAACCCTAAACTCCCCCTCTATATATTCCATGCTAGAAAGCACCCCATGCCCTAAACCCTAAACTTGAGAACCCCAATCACCGAACCACACCAAGCCGTGAAACTTAAGCAACCCCAAGTGAAACCCAAAGCCGAACCCCCTAATCAACCCCAACCCCAAGCCCCGAACCTCAAGGAGGTCCAAGCCTAAACCGCAAACCAGCCGAAGCCCAACACCCTCAATGCAGAAATCCCAAACCCTGCAGAAACAGGAGCATCCTAAGCGACCTAAGGCCCTGAAGAAGCAAAACCCCAAACAAGGCCAAATCCTGAGCCGTTGACAACCCCGAACCCGCAAGCCTGAAACACTAAAGCTTGACCAACCTCAAACCCTAGACCAGAAACAACTCCAGCACTTATCTGGCCCAAGCCCACACTCCAAACCCTTCGCAACCCCAAGCCTTGCCTCCAAAGAAGCTTAGACTCAAAGCTCTAGACGGGGGCAGAATCATATGTGACCTGTAGTGATCACGCTCATGCTGAAGATGTTTTTGCTGGTGATGTTTACTTTTTCGCAGCCGATTCAGTCTACAACTGTGCAAGTATCCATTTCATAGAAACCTTGGCCGTTCAACAATGACCTCGTCACATGAAGCAGGATGCAGTGTGGGAGACGAACAGCTGGAAGCGGAATTCATCAATGCTCCATGAGGTGTGCCATAGCTTCCACGATGCATTGTGTGCAGGGTGCAAGAGAACACACAATGTGCACAAGTGGTGCAGTCACGAATATGCCACAAGCTCATCTTGCAAATGGGAGAGTCAAGATGAGTCTCCAACATGGCATGACCTGCAGCAAACAAAAGCGGTCTCGACCTAATGATGCTCCTGATGCAGGTCTGCTGCAGCAAAGAGTACGACGACGAGCCGCCAGCACCTTTGCAGCTTGATCACCCGTTACTGCAGGCCGCATCTCAATCCAGACTGCAGTGCCATCAAGAAGTTTCAGACTTTATGAGCACTCTTGATTTCCGGCTTCCCTTCAAACAGGTTGCTTACAACTTCATTCTTGGGCACTCTTCAGCGCTTACTGCTTCTTGCCTCATCTTGCTGTTACAGTGGAAGCGTCTTATAAACGCCCGTGTGCCATATGCTACTGATGTGCATCCATTGACGTGCGCAGTAGCTGCGCAAGCAGCAGACACAGAACTCTGCCGTAGGCATTTGAAAAGCGCGCTCAATGATGACTTGTTATCATTGAGAGTTGGAAAAGCATTAGATCCCTGCAGAAGGGATGTTCGTATCGAAAGCTAAGCCGTTGGGCAAGGCCTGATTTTTGGACAGCTAGGAGCTTTTTTTTTTTTTTTTCTCGCAGCG